TTAGTCAGGCAGTCTTTAGTTTGTATATGATTATGCAATTTTGTAACAGTATATGAAAATAGGGTAACACTATATAGAAGTTCTTTAGGTCTGGCTAGCAATGACAAAGAAAAAAATATAATATCTGGGCCGGGCGCGGTGGCTCACGCCTGTAATCCTGGCTCTCTGGGAGGCCGAGGTGGGTGGATTGTTTGAGCTCAGGAGTTCGAAACCAGCCTGAGCAAGAGCGAGACCCCGTCTCTACTAAAACAGAAAGAAATTAATTGAACAACTAAAAATATATAGAGAAATTAGCCGGGCATGGTGGCACATGCCTGTAGTCCCAGCTACTCGGGAGGCTGAGGCAGGAGGATCGCTTGAGCCCAGGAGTTTGAGGTTGCTGTGAGCTAGGCTGACGCACCGGCACTCACTCTAGCCCGGGCAAAAGAGTGAGACTCTGTCTCAAAAAAAAATATATATATATATCTGATACTGAAATTTTTCCTGCAAATAATTAGCATATTGCTGATTATCCATAAAATCAACCCTTCATTTGATCACTTATCAATGTGACATTGACTTTTTGTTTCTGATTTTCTTTTTTAGGACTGTAAAGACCATAAAATTACTCTCTCTGTACAAGTATTATGTCCTAGAACTTCACTTGCAGTTGTGGCTCCCAAACAATTCTGTTAGCTCAATCTTCCAAGAACTTTTTAATTTCCAAAGTGGAAGTAACATGGTTCCTGCTCTGGAATTTCTTGGCACTTATACCTGACTTGTATTAAGAATTTGACAAAGGCCAACAGCATAATTTACTGTGATCTTAAAGTATTAAAGTTATATGCAAATGGTTTTTTTCATAATAGAACTACTAACGAAAGAATTTTTGCATTTAACAGTTGCTGTCTCCAGAGTCTTTGCAATTAAATCCCTTTACCTAGAGTGTAAACGGAGTCAGAGCTAACTTTTATTGTGTTTGTATTTATATTGATGGAATATCAATTTTTTTTCCCAAGGATGAAATTTCCACGTTTATTTTTCTTTTCTTTTTTTTTTTTTGAGACAGAGTCTCACTGTGTTGCCTGGGCTAGAGTGCCGTGGTGTCATCCTAGCTCACAGCAACCTCAAACTCCTGGGCTCAAGCGATCCTCCTGCCTTAGCCTCCCAAGTAGCTGGGACTACAGGCATGCGCCACCATGCCTGGCTAATTTTTTCTATATATTTTTAGTTGTCCAATTAATTTTCTTTCTATTTTTAGTAGAGACGGGGTCTCGCTCTTACTCAGGCTGGTTTCGAACTCCTGAGCTCAAACAATCCGCCCGCCTCGGCCTCCCAGAGAGCTAGGATTACAGGCGTGAGCCACCGCGCCCAGCCACGTTTATTTTTCTTTCATGTGCATAGAAAATGGCAGTGACATGTCCTACGAAAGAGACAGGGAATGGGCATGGCGCTGCTATACCAGACAGACTTTGTGCTTCCAAAGTACGCTATTCATTGTGAAAACAAAGGAGGTCGTAGTTTGTGGTCACTAACAGTTCCTTGGGTTTCCCATTTGTTTTTTAAGCTATCAGTTTCTTCAAATCTCTTTCAAATGACACACCGCATTACAAATGATGGCACTTAACCAATGTGGCATCTCCATATTTACACCAACAAAAGAAATTTACAAGACATAATAGCATACAACCTTGACATTTAATAATAGCAATAAAGCATGAAGGGCGTTTCCCTTATCCTTTTAAGCATCTCAAATTATACGGCAATAGTATACTGTATGTGCTCTTTTTTAAAGTAATCAATTCTTAAAGAATCACGTTTTTTTTAACTGTTGGAGATTCTCATTCAGTCTTCTGTTCTTCATTTTCCTCTTCTCTATCAATGATTGTGCTCAGGAAGGCTGAGTCACTGCACTGTCTGGGTTCACTAGTCTGCAGTTTCTCAGACTGGAGCACTGGGAACTTTACTGGACCACCTCTGAGTGGACTTGTACTGTGCTGTCATGTTCCTCGTCCAGCTAGGAGAGTAGCCTGTGCTCATGCAGATCATGTTCCTTCGTGTTACAAATGATGCCTTTCAAATACACAGGAAGCAATTGCCCCATGTTAATGCCTGGATGCTGCCCACGTGTTGTGTTGGTTATATTTGATCTTTTTGTAAGGGAATATTGGTTCTCCACCATGGCTGCACATTGGAATCATCTGGAGAGCTGTATGAAAGACGCATAACTGGGTCCCACCCTCCCAGATTCTGATGTCATGGATCTTGGGTGTGGCCTGAACGTTGGGTTTTTTAAAAGCTTCCTAAGTGATTCTAAGGTACAGTCAAGATTGAGAACCACTGCCTAGCAGTCTCTTCTGATTCCCATACCTTTTAAGGTCAAGTTTATTTGTTTTCTTAATAACATAACTCTTAGCTGTTTGGGTAAAAGATTCATAACTATGTAAACAGATCTCCAGACAGATTATTGTACAAATTTTGTACAAATTCATTCCTAAAACCCCATCACATTTCCCCATGTCTTTAGTATTCACCTCTATGCAGATAACAAGGGCTAACACTTATACGGGCTTCTTAAACAACAGGTACTGCGCAAGTGCTGTACACACACTAACTCATTCAATCCACGCCTGTGGCCCTAATCTCTCACCTCAACTCAAGTGCTGTATTTTCAAGTGCTGCTAGAGCATATCCACCTGGCTAGCTGCCATCTCCAACTCAATGTGTATAAAGCTTTACATACCCCATCTACCAGCATCATTTTCCAACTACTTACAGCATCAAACAGGTCTGGCTCAAATCCCAAACCTACTGCCACTGGCATGTGACTTTGGCAGGAAACTGTATATTCGTTTCCCTTAGTTGCAAAGTGGTGATCGATGGTTATAATGATACCTGCTTCAGAGACTTGTGAGGATTTCTCAAGATTCCCTATGTAAAGTGTGTTGTTCCTATTGTATAGCAGGCATTTAACAAATGATAGCTGTTGTTATTACAAAAAACTTTATATTTATTATCAACACTTCCCGTTCCTCTTCTGTACTTATCTGTTCTGTTCCCCATGCTTATTTCATGTTGTAAATGTTTCTCTGAGTCACCCACTCCAGTCTGGGCCTGTCCCCTCAGGCCTCGATTGCTGCAGCAACTCCTAACTGGGGCTCTTTTCTCTTGCCACCCTTAATTCAGTCAACACACTCTGAAAATAATTTCTTAAATAAAACTCCACTTGGATGTCATACCCTTGCTCAAGAACCTATAAAAAGGCTTCCCACCGTTGGCTGCGTCGTACCCAAACTCCTCTGCTAGATTTTTAAAATTCCTCTCATGATTTGGTCCCAAACCTTCTGATTGATAAAATTTCCCGTTTACTGCCCAGCCATCACTCTCCCCTTTAAGTTACCGGGGTCCCTCAGTGACTTCTGAAAACACATGCAATGCTTATTCCAGCCCTTGCTGCTGTGCCCAGTATAAAATACAGATTCTCCTCTGTTTACAAGGTTTGGTTCCAGTAAGCCTCCTCCCTAAATTCTTTTCCGTTTTGATCTCTGCTTATACTCGTTCCTTTTCTGTAACATTACTGTTACTTTTCTATAACACTGATCTCAAATGCAAATGCTGAGGGGGGCCAGGCAGCCGGTGTCACCAAGTGGCTATACAGAGTGGCAGGCACATGCCTCATCTAACAGAGTGGCCACAGCTGCCCGCTGTATCCCCAAGGAAATGCAAGCTTGTTATTGCAAGACTTCCCAAATAATTTTCAAGAGAAAAGTCGGGATTTGTTTTTACTTGAAATCTCCTAATTTTCAGATGTTGGCAATTAATTTTAAACTCTTCCAGAAAAATTGTGGGCAAACAAAATAAATCTATAGGGCTGGGTACAGCCCCAGGGCTCTAGTCTGTATACCACCTACTGTAGGACTTAATTATTCTCTAATTTTTGATGTTTTATTTCTGTCTCCCCACCTAAGACGTCTACTCCAGCAACCCCGCCTTGTTCATTTATGGCATCTGCTGCTGAACCCAACACAGTGTTAGTGACGAATAATAACCGTTTAGTTGATTCATTTGCTCAAGAAACTTTTAATGAACTTACATAGCATGGGATAAACCAGACTTCACAATTTTTGCTTTCTGGTTTCTTTCATTGAGGTTGGAAATATTTAGTGGAAATATCCAGTGTTTTTGTCATGGCTCTGTGTCTGATTCTCATATTCATCATCAGTTTTATATCCTGCCTTGTTGCTTAGTCACCTTGTAACACAAAGCCAGATTTTTCTATGGAAAGAAGTACAAACTATGTTACTTTTACATTTTGTTAATAGTATTTGCCATTGAATGACATATAAAATATATTTAGATAATCTGTAGATATTCACAGTACTTGGCACGTATTAAGAATGTAATAAATATTAGTATTATTTACTTTTCATACAACCAGGAGGTATGTGCCTTTGGCAATTATGTCTGAATTCAGTTTTTATATTAAGATTATTTTACCGTGCAATATGAAATACATGTAATTGTGTGTCTAAAATCATTCTTCATGATAATGTGTATCTGAAGGAGTTTTGTGGGGATTTTTTGGTGAGGAATTTAGAGTAAATGATAAAAACTCACTATTCTTGCCTTATGTAGCACATACTTTCACATTGTAACTTCCTGTCTAATTGCCATGATATCATTTCAGCAGCAAGCAAAGACATTCCATCCCGAACAGTTACCATTAGACATGAGTAATTCTGTTTGACTCATCTTAGTTTGGACTGAAAAGGGGAACATATTTGAGAAACACATGGGCACCATTGTAACTATTCAAACAGGACTTTTATTCTCAACCAAAATGCCACAAAGAAGATATCTCTTAAGACCTTGGTTAAGGTTCGTTACATCCTTCAACTTAGAGACATGAAAAGTGTTGCCTCCTTTCCTTGTTGCCTGTGATGGTATTTTTTCATGGTGATGTGATGAACATTAGGACAACGCACAAATCCAGATTGTCCTCATTTTGTGGTTTTCCGTAGGTACTCAGCGTGCCAATGCCAGGGCTCCAGCCCCTTACAAGCGAGATTTTGAAGCCAAACTAAGGAACTTTTACAGGAAGTTAGAGACTAAAGGATATGGACAAGGCCCAGGGAAATTAAAGTAAGTTGAAGTGATACCAACCACATGACTTCTAGGTGGTGAAAGGATGGGATGTGGTTGGGAATTCAGGAAATTGATTGCAACTTGGGATGACTAGCCTGTGATTTGGGCTGGGGTCATCTAAAACATCGTTCTGGAATTAAGCACAATTTAAGCTTAAGGTTTGAAAACAGTGAAAACACTGCCACTTTCCGTGTAAAAATATATGCAAAATAAAGAGCTGATTTATTTTTTTCCTCTGAAAAGCACCTCTTTGTTGGCATATAGTATATTCATTAGATGTAAAGCTATCACAATGTCCTGTATTGCCAGTCCCTGTCTCCGGAGCTGACCTGAGTGCAGGAATAGTGCTTGGCTCTGTTTGATTCTTTGAAACAAACCTCACAACAGAATATGTCACGAATGTCATTTCTGCCCTTCTTCATCTACCTCCCTTAAATGGGGAAGGTGAATTGTTCGCCCTAGAATTGTTTTCACTCCCTACTTATGGTAACATCCTTCTCCTCTCCCCACCTTTATCCTGTTCCATGTCCCCGCTAGAGATCATTCTGCCACCAAGAGAGGACCAAGGAGGCAAGATCTCCACTGATGCAGCACTGTGACCCTGAGAGAGGGTCCAGGGACCAGCCCAGCAACAGCCCCATGACTCACTGCCCTGTGCACAAAAGGGCTTGCTCAGTTAAATTCCACCTTCATCGCTGTCAAAAAATCAGCCTGCCCCAAACACCAGACCTCTCTGAGCTTTTCTTTACTTGCACTTGACTTTTGAAGGTCTGGATGATCCAGCTGTCATGCACTGGCCTCCTTATCGTCTCCCTGTTCGTTGCCATTGACATTAAGGGAACATTGGTATCTGTGGAAGGATGACTTTAATTGTCATCATCACAAGTAAATTACCAGCCACAAGCATCATTCATTTGTATCTATCCTTTAGGGAATCTCAAGATTCATTTAATTTAAAAAATTAAATTAATTTAAAAAAATTAAGCACAATTATAAACGCTTTTGCTTTGGAAGCCACTGGGAATTTTTTTTTTTCTCCTGGTTCTCAAAGTCATCTCTCTGGGCACTTGGTAATTGAATTCCTTGTCTAGGTACATCGAGGCTTAAAACATTATTACCTCATGTTCTTGCTTTACTAAACAAAAGTTGTGTATGCCTTTGCTTTGGAAGCCACTGGGAATTTTTTTTTTTCTCCAGGTTCTCAAAGTCATCTCTCTGGGCACTTGGTAATTGCATTCCTTGTCTAGGTACATCGAGGCTTAAAACATTATTACCTCATGTTCTTGCTTTACTAAACAAAAGTTGTGTATGTGTGCATGTGTGTGGCTTTATGATCATTTTCCTTCTTGGATAAATTGATTTGACCATTCAGAAAGGATTCTGCAGTTGTTTTTACGGGTCATAGGTAGGGTGCTCTATTTACCAATGATTTTCTTATGTAACTTTTGCTGATGCTATTAAGAGTTACAGAGAAATGTGTACTTTATTGCAGACAGCAGTGATATTAAGTAACTCTGCTGCTTCTCACCTGGTTATTTGTGGTAAATGGAAATCAAATGGCAAGTGTGAAATTCTAGAAAGTAAGGATCAGGAAATAATCTGTATTTTTCACATTGTCTCTTTATGGACAGGTTAATAATCCGAAGAGATCACTTACTAGAAGATGCTTTTAATCAGATTATGGGCTACTCCAGAAAAGATCTGCAGAGAAACAAGCTATATGTCACCTTTGTTGGGGAGGAAGGGTGAGTAGAACAGAGAAGTGCTCTGCTGCGGCCACAGGGCGGATGTTTCTCCACGTCGCTGTGGTTGCCTAAAACAGGAAATCCTTCTGGCAGGAAACGCTGTTCTCATACGCTTAAACCTTTGGCTTTTTTTTTTTTAAGGCTTCCTCTGGTTTTTAAATCATTTGACATAGAAATTCTTTGGTAAACCTTGTAGCTGTAGGTCATTTTTGAGAGCAGAAGTCTGGTTTGGTTTCTTTTCTCTGCAGCTCTCTTTCTCTTAAAGGGAAAACGTAGGGGTTTGGGGGGAAAAACAAGAAATTGCATTTTAACATCTATTATCTTGGTTTCTGCCCTGGAGTGCTAAGTAGAATGTGTTTCACCTGTTAAATAATTTCAATTTCAGAAACACGAATTTGAATCCTGCTGTTCCTCCAGGAAGCCTCCGCAGTAATAACTCGGGCCTTGGTCCTTATTTCTTCGCCTTCAGATTTCCTTTTCCCTTGGGAGGGCAGCACACCTACCAGTACAGCTACCTGCTGTAAGCAAACATGTTCAGTCTCCTGTGACTCATCCATGAGTGTGCTCAGCCAGATAAGGGTTGGGAAACTGAGGGGTGAAGACTCCTACACAGTGTCTGCTGCACCCGAATAGACACAACAGTTGTTTTACATCACTTAGAACATGGCAGTTCTCATCCCTCCCGGGCCCCTTCCTCTTTCCTCATTTCAGGTCTGGGTTTGGGTCTCAGCACCTTACTTACAAGCCAGTGGCTGCTAGAGGGAATTTTAAAAATACTGTACAGTTGTCTGAATTCTGGTTGTGTTCTCCTTGATGCTGCTGATTTGGATCATTTTAAGGGTACCCCTCTCAGTATGCCCAGGAATAAAGTACATTAGATGATGGAATCCTAGTAGTAATATCCAAATCAGTATTCAGTATACAGCTGATGAAACAGCTGTAACTTGCCTGTGCTGATGGAGCTAGGGAATAGGAAAATCAGGGTTTGAACCCAGGCCTTTGTCTTTCATTTGGTACTGTTAGACCAGCACTGGGATGTAAGCAAAACTTGTGAACTCTAGTGTATCTGAATTTTTTTCCTGCCCCTGGACCTTTATACCATTCCAGTAGTGACTGATAACTTCTGCTCTTGTCACATATAATCTCCCAACTATGCCTAGATTAAAGTAAAATATTATATGGGAACATGACGAAGTTTGGACAGAAGCTCGCCTGAGACTTGAGCCTTTCATTGCGGATGTGCACAAGCGAACTTCTAGCCTGTGTTAGTTGGTTTAAAGATTCAGGTGCACAACTGAAAATGAACGCAAATGTTGTTAGCCTAATCACAGGTATGCATGGGATTCCAAGCATTTCCTTACATAATCAGTCTAGTTTGGATGAGAATACTTTTCTTCCCCCAGAACTCCAGCTGCCTGTCTTGGTTGTTGGATCACAATTTGTTGAGATCTCAGAGATGTAGGGAAGAGTCTTTGGAAGCACAGATATTTAAGTTTGAGTAGAACAGATACTTATCATGCTTGGTCATCTTAAAGCAGTTTCCCCGTGATTTGAACTGATGACATCAGTTCCTATAGGAGGACGCCCAGGCTGAGTGGGGCTTGATACCTCTGTATTTGATTGCCACTCATGTCCAAATGCTTCCTGCCTCTACCACCTGTCTCCTTCCTGTGACTTCAGAGGGAAAACAAGGGAGAGGATGTTTTGAGGTGTGACCTCCGTTTATCAGGGATAATCTCTTAATCTGTTCCCTCTACATATGGCTTATTGAAGTAGATTTCTAGACTCATGGCTTTATCAAGTCAATATCATACTTACAGTTTATGAGATAGAGACTCTGTTATGCTATTGAGCCACAGAGAATATACATATTGTTCTTGAAAGACTAAAACAGTACTCTTGCTAAAAAAATAGAAGCCTGAAAACAACATAAAAGTAAGGAGCTCTTTTAGCCTTTGCCACCTCCTCAAACACATTGACTCTATCACATGAAAATAAAGGATCGTAACATTTCTTTCTGGATTATGATAAATACCAAAAGTGAAAGCTACCCCGATTTTTCCATTAAACTATAAAAATGGAGCTGGAAGTTTTCTGTTACTTTCCCTTCACCAGTTTTAACACCCTCAAAATGTATCATTTTGCAAGTTCTTCATGTCTAGGTCTAGTCATAGGCATTTGAAAACATACATGTCTGGTGCCCAGATCTTGGTTCCTAATATTATTCTTCAATAAAAAGAACCTAGGGTTTTTTTTGAGAAATGGCTGATTCTAGGACCTGGGCAGGAAATATACAAGATGGAGCCTTGAAGCATCTTGCAGTACCTGCCAGAAAGTGAAAAGTCATCAGAAAGCCCACAATCATGGGGGTACATTGAAGGGACACAGGAGCCAACTGAAAGAGTTCCTAATGGCCAAAGCTGAAATAATTTGAGCAATGAAATAAATAAAGTAGTATTGGATTATAATCCAAAGTATAAAATAAATATCCATACCGATAAAACTACATGATTGAATAAATAAATAAATGGAAGAGAATAGAAAAATCTCTTATGCATGATATTTCCAAATAATTCAGCATAACTCCCTTCTCCTTATGTGTGTGTTGTGCATAGTGACTTTGTTCCAAATAGTACAGTATGGAAAAGGGGGAAAAGAAGTAACTTTACATTGGAGAAACGTGACAAACACTATCTCAGTCAGATGACCAAGGTTAACATTAATAACAACTAAGTCATGTTGATAATATGTACCCTTGAGATGATGTGATGAAAATGGCACTTTACCTCTGTGGTCTTCCTCCCAAACCCATAACCCCAGTCCAACCATGAGAAAAACATCAGACAAATCTCAACTGAGGGACATCGTACAACACACCTTAACAATACTCTTTAAAAAACTGTCAAGGTCATCAAAAACTACAGGAGTCTGAGAAACTGTCACAGCCAAGAGGAGACATGACAGTTAAATGTAATGTGATTTTCTGGATAGGATTATGAAACAGAAAGGGGACATTAGGTAAACTAAGGAAATATGGATAAAGTATGGATTTTAGTTAATAATGTATCAGTATTCGTTTATTAATTATGACAAATGTACTGCTAATGTAAGATGTTAGTAAGAGGGAAGCTGCATGTGGGATATACAAGAACTCTCTGTACTATCTTTACAACTTATCTATAAATCAAAAGTATTCTAAAATAAAAATTTTATTTGAAGAAAATATATAGTCAGGATTTGGGGAGATTTAGGAAATGTTTCCCTGAATGACTTTTCTTATTTCCTGTTGTCTGATGAGTGACTGCCACCAGAGTAAATTTTGGTATGTATGTACCTCCGTTTGTACTTGAGGCCAGTTGAGTAATAAGTACATGGATAGAGTTAATTCTGTGGAAAGCCCAAATTAGTAGGGGCTTTTGTGTGTCTAGAGTATTATTTTGCGTTGTTCATGTTTTATCTATGAGGGAACAATACTTTGCAATTCTTATTGATACCACCTAGATGATTATATTTTCTTCCCATCATGATTAAAGTCTTTATTTGCGGTAGATTAGCTAAGACATAAAGAAAAAGGGATTATTTTTAAGACTAATACATCTACCTATCCTCCAAAAAGGTGTGAATTAGCAGATTCACAGAGAGATTTAACTTTAAGCTGTCTCTTTGCATAGGTCTGAAACATGATATATAGATTGTTCCTGAAATAGAAAAGTTGAGTCCAGAGAAATGATGGAAACATTTACAGTCACAAATTTGCAGGATGGCTACAAATTCCATGTGAGGTAGAATTAATTCCAGAATACTAGGGATGTCTATATTCAATTTAAAAATACAAAAATAATCCTAGAGCCTATTAATGCAAATACATTAGTTGACAATGAACTATTATTTCTCCTTAAAATAATATTTTGTGTGTGCTTTGGCTTTTTTCAAAAAGTAGATAGTTACTAAGCACTATCTTGTGATTAGTGATGTAGGTTTGTTAGAGCTGGCGGTTTTGTTCTAGTCATTAAAATTTCTACCCAATTTAATTTGGTTATCTGCCCTGGCAAAGTTTCAGGGAGGGGAGGTTAGCAGTGGTGGAGTGGCTAGAAACTGAGTCATCTTGACTGAATGTGGTGAGAAATTGCACGCAATTGCCTAGAAGTTGCTTCTATAGGGACGAGGCCAGTGAAACACTACACAGTCTCCAGCATAGTGTTCTGCATAATCTCCAGCTTTATATTATGCTACATATTCTCCTGCACATTATTTTCTTTTGAATTAAAAGTCCTAGCAACCAAAGTGTATGCGGTGTCAAAAGTCAGCTAAATTAGACTGTTGTGTTCTGATAAGGCATGGGGCCATTAACTTCTTAGTACCCAAAACAGCACAGAAATAATGGGCTGGATAAAGAGAGGATGTTTACACTGTGATTGCTCCACCTCTTTTTCCTCCATGGCCAACCCTGTAAAAGGCACCTTCCTTTAAGAAAGAATGAGTTCATTATGTGTGAGGTGCCATCAATATGACGTCAATTATCTGTCTTGCAAAGCCACACTAGGGAGGAGATGAGTGCAGTTTTAGTTGGGGGTTTAAGAACTTTCTGTAGTATCTTTCTGTTGAGCTCTTTCTGTAATCTCTCTCCTGAGACAGGCCAATGAAAGCAATTAGGGGGGATGAGATCCTAAACCGTTTTCTTTAGTCCCTGCTTATAAAATAGCCAACTGTTCTTACATATGACTGGTCAGATCCTCATCAGAAGCTGTGTAGGTTCCTGAGCTTGTTCATCCATTTCTCAGAAATCTGTAAAGCTTCAAGTTAAACTTTATGGTGATGCTTATTTTCTTCCAGAAAGAGACATTTGCAGGATAACCTAAATAGACCCAAATCTTGCTAAGGAAAGGCACTTCTGTGTCTAGGCTTTGGTTTGGGATCACCAGGTAGAACTTTGTTTATCACATCAAAATGCCTTACTCACCTTCCAGGCTTTCTTAAGCGGCTCAAGAACTAATGCCTTG